GGTGGGATGCGGAATCGAACCAGCGACCCTCAGATTGTGAGTTGAGCGCCTTATCCACCTGGCCATGCCGGGCCTTATTGTATGAAAGAAACTGCGATAACTAAGTAAATTAAAACTCCTCAGTAAAGTTTTAGCATTCAGTTGTTAAATCAAACAATAAGATATTACAGACATACATACAGTTAGACTATACACAAAATGTCAGATACTCAAGTCTTACTAGAGTTATTAAATATGTAAAGTGAATTTGAAATCAATATTGAAATTTATAAAATACCAGTACTACAGAAGAGGAACGAAACAATTGGGAAGTTCATATCCATAGATCAAACAAAACACTTCTAGTTCGTGTTTTTAATTGGAAAGTATTTTCATTCATCTACGTTCAAGTCTAATTCATTTTGAGAAAACAAGTTTTCGGTGAGTTTATAGAGATATGTAGTACAATCCAGTCAAACATATATGTTCTATATTGAGGTGTGAAAGAGATTTTATTAGATCATGTTGGGTATCAAGAACCTATTTTTTATTTCGCATAGCAGAAAGTACCACTTGAAGATCTCCTAAAAATTACATTTTGTTTCATAATACACAAACACTTTCTATCAAATATACGGAAACAACGTGTGTTAAATTTCATTTTTGAGAATTATTATTCTAAACGTTTAAATAAACAACAACAACAAAAAAATGTGCATTTTTATCTTGCTTTATGTTAGTTGCTTCCTTCTATTCTGATCGACGTCTGGCATGGATCGCGAGTTCGAATCCCATCACCGAACATGCTTGCCCTTTCAGCTGCGAGGGCATTATAATATGTCGACTAATCCCACTATTTGATTAGAGTAGTCCAGAATTAGCGATGTATGATGTTGATCAGTTGACAAGCTATTGTCTATCACTTCTAAATTAGAAACGGCTAAATATAATTCCCGTAGTTTATAACAGATTTTTTACCTGATATATTTTCTACATAAACACACCTGTCTGAAATTTAAAGAGAAACGACGTTTCGCTATCCGTAATTATTTGGAAAAAAAGTTTCAAGCTCTACGCATGTTCTTTAGTACATGTGTACACCTTTACAACGCTTCCCATTTCACTCCTTCGGGTACAAAAGGTATCGAAAACATTCCAATCATTCAGTCTTGGACTGGTGGTCATTCTGTATTTCCGTTTTTAACCAAATGGGAACATTCACATGGCTGACGTAAGCTGTTTCCCTTTAAATGTGCATCAATCAAGTCACGCACGCAATTGCTTTTCCTTTTACTGAAACAAACAATAAACCCTTATTACCAAGAACAACGTTGTACACCTGCCTCACCGGGTGAAATAGCATATGGACTGAGAGCCGAAGTCAATACACTTTCAAGGTTACCGTTAGCTCCATATGGATCACTAACATTGCCATCTAGTGGTTAATATATTTACTTTCATTTTTCACGTAATTATACATAGTTTTTTTCATTTGTATGCTATAGATTAGCTATTATGAGTCGTCTTTTTGGCGTAATAAATAACCGTAGGAGAAAAATATACAATATTTTAAACAGTGCATGCTTATGTGACTATATCAAACTACGTTTATAAATACTATTTTTTTTTTTATCAAATGATAGTTACGTATTAATAAACGTATAGTTAATAGAAATATTTAATGAATGTTTTTTTTTCCACGTCATAACTAGTTCCAATCAATCGTACCGTAATGTTCAATTCGTATCTGTCTGAGAAAAATATAATTCAATAAATAAACTATTAATTGTTACCTGGTTTTTGCTTGTTAGTTAATCATAAACTGAAATATTTTGACATGTTTACCCTGCTTTCTGGCATATATATATATTCGAGAAAAAAAACTTCTCAGAGATGTTAATTATTTTCGGCTAGAAGTTTGGAAGGTTTCCAAGTAGATTTTATTCTACGTATTTGTCTGTTGTTCTAAATAATGAACAATAAAACTAGAAGGTTCTGCTCAGTCATCAACCTTAAAACAGGAAGTTTCTGCCCTGCCTTCTTGTAATAAACAGCCAATCAGAAAACTCATTACATTCACTAAGTCGTATACCTTCGATTACAGTGCAAGATAATCCCTGTTTGTCAGATCAGGTTTCAACAGACTTTTATCTAGCGAGCATTTCAAGGTCTGGCACTATTGAGAAGTTGAAGGGGGAAAAAAACTAAATCAGTTGCTAAGCAACGGGATCGGTGAACTGCAAGAAAGCGATTGCGTGACGCAGGCCCTCTATTGACAAGAGTATATATATTTAATATTATTATTTGACAAAGTTACTTTTAATTATAATTAGGTTGAAAATAAAAAGATATTAGACAGATCCTCTCCCCAAGTGTCTCCAATTTTATCCATATCTTATTGTTTTTAAACGATGAAATTCGAAGATCAGAAAATATTAATAATTTCTCCGTACAATGAACGTTTTCAACAAATGCAGGCTCTTGATCATTCTGTCTACATTTGATATTTACCTTTCTACAGAGATTTATTTATGTAAGCATGTGAATACCGTAATTAGGTCGGGTAAAAAAGGTTGGCATACAAAGTATATAATATTACAGCTTACCCAACATTCAAACAAACAAATATATCAAAAATATTCCTTTCCGTCAAAATAAAACGAGTTTGGGCTGTTATATACATTAATAAATAAGCTTTTAATAGAAAAAATAAGTATTATTATCCTCAGGTGTACATTTTCTGAGTTGTTTATATATCAGCATCTTTAGGGAAACAATGAAATTATAATAACAATGTATAATATTTCTTATTTTAGAACATAAGTCTAAATAACGTAAATGACTTAATTTTTATCGAGAAAAAAATTTTTTCTTCATTTATATACATTGAAATATAACTATATTAGTGTATTTTCGGGTTTTAGATATCTTAATGTCAAGAAATTATTTTGTTGTATGAACAATTTAGGTTGTAATATTTGTGGAGATCAATACTGAACACGTAGATTATCTCCAATTCGTCGAATATGTTTGTTTAAAGGTATGTCCAGCACGCTAATACATAACATAATACGATTTTTTTTTTATTATTGTTATTATGTTGTTGTATTTCTTGCATAAATATCATTATTTTATAATAATTTCTTCCATAGCCCCGGGAATCGTTCCTCATTGTTACTCAGAGACTCACTACAGATCTCTACCAGTTCACTCCTGCAGAGATTTATTCCCTCACGAGAATCCACACAGCTCTCTCTCCCGTACGGTTACGCACAACTCTCCATCCTCAGCTCCTTCACATCGATTATCCTTCACTCCCCAACATTCAACACATCATTTGGGATTGCCGCCTTCCTGGTCACCTCCTCACTTCCATGTTACCAGCACAAGCCAGGTACATCCACAAACTTCTCATGGACCCCACATTAGGCTTGTTCCTTCTAGTTCCCCGTCGTCCTCTCGAAATCATTCGCCAACAGGAAGACCTTCAGCCATTCCAACTTCTGTTATTACCACAGCTAACAACACTGTTTCGCTTGGCTCTGACCTGGACTCATCGTGTTACGTTGAAGACCTATCTCGTCAGCCGAAGCCTAAGAAAAAAGGTACAGATTCCTGCTATAGTGTAGTAACTTAAGAGAATGGAGTAAATTATCTGTAGTTGTCAAAGCATGACGAGATCTGTCTAAACATGCTTGGGCGCCTAGATCAAACAGCTTTATAAAATGCAACGTGCTTCTCACAAACAGATTGACACAGAAAACAGATATGACTTCACAAGTAAATTACATTTATAAATGAGTGTTTTTAATATTTGTCTGTTTTAATATTGAATAATTAGTATCTTCAGCTGAAAAGAACTAATCTTGAAATAATGCCCATTTGTGTGTTAACCACCTATCGGGTTCATATGGACCTCCACCTGTTTTTAAAACAAATTTTGGTTGTGTTTGTTCTTGTCATGACTTTGTTGCTTGTAAGGCCCTAATAATATACGAGTCCCAGAAAATATCTAAACACAAATAACATCAACATTGTAATTAATCCTACCAATTGCTGGTGGAGTTCCTTATATATTTGATATAGAAAAATAAGTGATCGTATTCAATTGTTGTTCTTGTTTTGTCAATTCTTTACACTAATTGTTGTAAAAGATAACAACATAAAATAACTCATTATGATACGATATGTGAAGCCTACTGGTAGTGAACAGTATAAAAACGAATGATTTAACCCAAGTTTTTTGGTCAGTTTTTTAATTTATCGATCTGTATGTTGTACTCTTTTTTTTTCCCCCCAACAGTTGTTCTATCCTCATCCGTAACATATTAATGAAAGTATTATAAAAGCTTATGTGGGTGGATGGATAGATAAAACTTTGTACTGATATATATTTTACATTGATCTTATATTGAGCGAAAAACTAAATTTGTCGAGAACTTTCTTTGGTTATCTTATCATTGAAAATAAATATGAATTTCGTAACATTATTTGTTCTGAAGAGTATATTTTGTTCAATGTATAGGGAGTGTTTTAAAAATCATCTCCATAGTATAGAATTTCATGTGTCTCACAATAAAACGTAGTTCCACGATATATTTTACGATCTCATAAAGCATCGATTGGCTGTTATACCAAACAAAAAGTTTAAATGTGAAAAGTGAGTATTACAAAGATAATTTTGTATAATTTTATTAGCACGAAAATTAAAGAATCCTGATGATATTTCTTCTACGAAGAGAAAAAGTCGAGAAGGTAAATATAAATCATATTTTTTATGTCTCATATTTGATTTTGGATAATTAGGCAAGATATAAAAAGCAGTCCTTTTCGTAAACTCAACTTCATACTTAGCACAAGAAAGGCACTTACTCTAATAGTATTGTTTCGAGTTTACAAGGATACGTTTGTTTTTAAATATGTTTGGTATTTTTCTTGCTTATAAAAAAAACTCAAATGTTAAAAATCAAAACTAATATTTTTTCCTTGAAATCCCAGGAATATGTAAAAACAAAAACGGAAAGAAACTACATAGATATAAGCAGTTTTAAGCTCTGTATGAGGACTCTTTGCTTTACTGTCAAATTCACCAAAATTAACCTCTATTTGTGAAAGGGTAGATATTTCTCAATCTTCAGTTTTCTACTTACGAAATGCATGTACAATCAATAGTACCTTGTTTTGACAAGTACATTAACAATAACGTGTATGAATCACTGTGAAGGTTAAGTTAACTTAGGAATTAAAGAATATTTTATGTAGTATTTTAAATAGCATTGAATATAACCAACTGATTGTCTTAGTTGCGCCATCTAGTTGTTATTTGTGGAATTTGTAACTTTTAAAAATTAAGTATTTCTTTATTATTATTATTTTCATTCTAAGGCTGGGCCATTTTTTAGTTTTTTTTTTTGTTATTGTTGAAAATATCTATATCCTGACAACATATTAATCTGTATTTATACCATCTCAGGTTCTACAACTTATCTGTGGGAGTTTCTGTTGAAATTACTTCAAGACAAGGAATACTGTCCGCAATATATTAAGTGGACAAATCGAGAAAAGGGAATTTTTAAACTTGTAGATTCTAAAGTTGTGTCAAGACTCTGGGGAGTTCACAAGAACAAACCAGACATGAATTACGAAACAATGGGCCGTGCCCTGAGGTATGTAGTATTTGAATTCATTAACATGAGATTTTGTAATTTTTTTTGCAACTAGAAAATATTGGTATTTTTTGCTATTAATATTAACTACGTAATTAGATGTTAAAACATGAACCCGTAATGATTATAGGTAGTTAAGTATTATATGTTTACGTTCATACATACAAAGATAAGAATGCATTGTTTCATTAGTTGGGTTGAATGAGCACTGTATTCATGCATTTCCTAGTATGATATGTAGGTTGAATGAGCACTGTATTCATGTAGGTATACTTTAAAGTAATGACAGTAGAGTTCACGAAAATATTGTGCCACCAGATCCTTGGTAACGCATTTAAACCTTTATAAGATACTTTAATTTGTCGTAAACAAAATTTATAGCTCAATAGACAGTACCTCATGTTGCTTGTGTTGTTGAAGTTCTGAAAAGATTCTCTTTAAGACACGTGTTTCTCTTCAAGGTATTACTACCAACGTGGAATTCTGGCTAAAGTGGATGGACAGAGACTAGTCTATCAATTTGTGGACGTTCCGAAGGATATTGTACAGATCGAGTGTTCAGAATGATCCATTATGAATTTTCGTGGTATCTTCTAGAAAATGGCCAAGTCTGTGATGTTATTGTATTTGTAACTGTTTGAGCTGTAAGCTCGTGAATAATAAGGGATTAATTAACCTTCTGTAATAGACACTTTTGCTGTGCATTAGAGAGTTTGAGTGACATAAGTATCCCTAAGAAAAGTGTAGAAACTAGGTTGTTGATTTGAATGAAGAGGGTATATATTTTTATATCAGGGATACTTTATATGCTGTTGTTAATCTAAAATATAAAATACACGTTATTTATTTTTATCACAGTAATCTCTTGCAGTTTTCAGTTCTTCAAGACGATTAGAGAAATTCATTTGCAACTGAATTTATAAAATCTATTTATATATGGTGGTATATATTTACATGCGCAAAAAAATGGTGAGTGATAAGTCTGAACCAGAAGTTCGAAACAGTTTTTACATCATAATTTAACATCGAATGAAGTTTTAATTGAAAAGGAAGTATGTCAACGAAACTGAAAGTTTACACGTGTACTTAAACTCTGTCAGGTGACAGTTCTTCTGTTAGCTAGTGAGAGAAGTATATGATAATATTTAGAATAAAATATATTTTGTGCATCCTTAACACAGCTTGATCACACATTTATCTTACTGCTATCCTTTAGCGATATTTAAGATAATTCAGTATAATTAAAACACTTATGTGCTGATGATAAAATGGCGTGTTATTCGTAGGGTTATAAGAAAATACAAAAAATGGACGTTCATTCAATACTGTTTACTTGTGAGTTTAAAGAATGTTTTTATTTTCCTTTCTTTAAAACAATTATGTAATTTTGAAAAAAACAATTCACGTACATCAATTTTAAACGACAGGTAACTCCAGTTACAGTAACAAGTTGAGTAGTTGTATAATTTATAGCACAGGTACATACACCTTTAGGGGAATATTTTATATTGTATCACGATAAATAAATGATATATGATAAAAAAATTATTATTCGGATTTATCCTGTAGAACTTACCTAAAAGTTAAACTCTATCTGTTTATTAAACAAGGTGGGTCTTTTTATTTTATTTGCAAGAAAAAAGTTCTCGCTCTGCTGTGCTAGTAATGGATTGCATATTAAACCGACTTGAGATTCATAGCCTCAATTCTCTTTTTCATTGGTCAGAAAGGCTTTGGGTGGAGGGGTGGGGGACAAAGAATACCGACCTCTTATGCTTCCCCATTCAGCTGAAGACCCTATGGTATGGCAGCCTGACCTGAAATGTCTCACAGAAACTGTCATTGTGGACCCCTTTCCTAATTTGAGGGGGATGGCTGCTTCTGTCGGTTCCCGAATGACGACCTTGAGTGTATGAACTTCAGAAAATGTAGCATTTATAGCTTTCAAATAGAGCAATTCCTAAAGTATACGTGGTAAACGGACATGCACTGTATGGCAGCTTTAAAATTATCAACAGACATGGCGGATGGGACTGATGTCTCCCTGGCTTCTTCGCCTATTTCATAGATGAAAAATCTAACTGTTAAAAACACGTATGTTATTACGGAAAACATCGTGTAATATTCCGGTCAACGGTTTGAAGGAGTTCGTTACGTTCACGTGTGTTTACATTTTCGTGTGATAATGTCAGGTGTTGTGATGGGTTCAAGTATTACTTAGTAAATGCACGATGAAAAATCGTCAAGATAAACAGCGTGAAAACACTTTTTTATAAGATTATTGTGTAATCAATGACAGACTTAAGCTCTAAATAAGTACAACAGTGGTTCTTAAGTTGCATTGCACCAAAAAACGCCAAACAACTAGCCCGGCATGGCCAGGTGGTTAGGGCGCCCGAGTCGCAATCCGAGGGTCGCGGGTTCGATTCCCCGTCGCACCAAACATGCTCGCCCTTTCAGCTGTGGGGGCGTTATAATGTGACGGTTAATCCCGTTAGTAAAAGAGTAGCCCAAGAGCTGGCGGTGGGTGGTGATGACTAGCTGCCTTCCTTCTAGTCTTACACTGCTAAATTAGGGACGGCTAGCTCAGATAGCTCTCGCGTAGCTTTGCGCGAAATTCAAGAACAAACAAAAAACTTAAGACGAACTTAGTACTTGGTGTAACATTGTATCCGGTGTAAATTTTACTTCTCTTTTATGAACTGAATATTTCAGAATTTTGAAAAAGCATGAGAGGTACATCATGGAATATTTTTTCAGTAATACTGTCTTAGTACTGATAGAATAACGCTTTTCAGATACAGTCAAATTAATCAATCGTTATAGATTGAATGTTTTGTGTGATATGTTTTCTATACATACGACGACAGGAAGTTCGTGTGTTGCTAGAACGAGTATATTTTGGATTCGGCACGAAGGATGTTACGATGTTCTCTTGTTGTATCAACTGTGACAGTTGCGTTTAAAAAGTATGATTAAAGTTCATAATGATTAAATTTGCCGAAGTTAAAGTGGTCAACCTTATACATTATATTTGTATAAACAAGTGGAACTCGCATCTTATCTACATGTAGCCTGGAAAATGTCAATTAATGTTAGCTTCTGATCAAAGTAAGCTACCTACTTAGACTGAAACTAAAATTCAACCTGGTAATGAGTACAGCTAGTTAGATATACATTTCTTACATATTTACTTATAAAAATAAGAATGAATTCTTTCGTCACATAGGTACCCAGACATTTTCTACCCTAAACATAATAATATCTCATGACGTTCGACCAGATCAGGTGATTTAGATTAGTCCTAAATTCACTTATTAAGCAAACAATGCAAAAAATCTCTATAATAAAGTATAATAAGTTAAAAATAATGAAATTAGATATGTTAAACATTCTAACCAATACTTTTAATGGAAATAACAATAAAGAAACAACAGAGTATAATGTTCTTTTTGTTCTTTTCATGTTTAATTATCAAGGTTAATGGAGTATGAATAATAAAAATCGTTAATTATCATGTTAAAAATAAGTAAAAAATAAAGAAATAAACATGAAAAGTGCATATTGGCTATACTTGTAAGTGTGTCTGCTCGCTTCTACGAAGAAGCGTACAACTTTTGAAAGTACTTGAGCCATGGGTTTTAACACAGTTATGTAAATAGCTTAATATCAGTTGACGCTTGCCACCTAGTGGTAAATATTGTTATGACATCCAGGAGAATTTACATAAGATTGATTCATTCCTGTTCTTTGCACAATTTTTTTATCTGTTTTAAATTATGTGTTTGCTATTTAATAATGTCTTATAAGTACCAAAAATTACTATGGTTATGTTTCTTGTTGAAAATATAATGTAATGTTTTGTAAATATTAACTGAAGGAATAAATGCCGAAGAAAACTTTTTTTTTGTTTCACTTTGTTTTTGGTATATCCCAAATTTAGTCAAAAATCAAGAAGTCGAGAATTTATAGAACAGTTTTTTGCTTACAAAAATACTTTCGTGGAAAGTTCGTCTAGCTATCAAAGCATATCACAACTGTCATGGATCAGTATATTGACTGGAACTTTGTTTACAACAACACCTTTGTACAGTGAGGTTTGTATAATATTCATAATAGTGACTGAAGCTTTTTTACGTTATAATTTAATGACTGAGTTGAAAATACGGATATCACAACACTTCTTATTGATATAATAAAAATCTCGTTCCAACAGAAGCTTAATGAAACGACAGTGGTTGCTTTTTGTTTTGGATTACTTAAAACTTTTTTTTTTTTGTAAAATTTCTTTTCTTTTGCTGACTCTTAACTTTAGAAAATATAGTATAACACAATTCAAGAAAGAATACTGAATCTTATTCTGCACACAGATATAATCCTACTTTACCTAACATAGGTGTTTTAAATAAGGTGTATTACTGATAGCTGAACAAGAAGAATTCTGAGTTTTAAAAAACAAATAAAAGCCCCGTTCCACATAATAATAAAATAAATCAAGTAAACAACAAAATGTAATAAAACTTCTATATAAAGAAATTAGATACATTTCTATACCCAGTAGTTCCTCATACTTTTGGGACGTAAAAAAACAAACAAACACAAACTTGATCAGAATGTCATAACCTCGTACACAAATTTCAAAGTCTGCTGGGGAGAAGTAACCTGGATAATTCCTGAACAATCGAAATAAATACCATTATCATTCACAGTTTACATACGAAATTCCTATACATATTTAATTTCAAATAGAAAACGCATACGGATATTCATTCAATAATGAATTGAAACTCAGTTCTAACAGCCCCAATTTTTAAAAGCCATTGTGGTCTTTGATATGCTGCTTTTATTTTTCTATATCATTATTTGAAGTTTCAGCTAATGTCTCCATTGGCAAAATGGTTAACTGAAGCGTAATTTCGTTTTCTTTAGCAAGTGATGTATGTATGGTAAAACCATTAAAGTATAAATATAACAATCAACAAAAACTCAGTTACATATCAGTAGTATGGATAAAATGTATTGAAACTGTAGGCAAATACATTAATTTTCTGGCCCAAAACTTTCTGTTTATAGCTCCCTGGTGGAACGTTAACAAAGTTTATCATATTAAAGAAAGTTATCTTCATATATTGTGTATATATTCAAGATTCTGTAGAAGTTCTTAGATCATTTATGTTAGATGGCAGAAATGGAATTAAATCTTTGGAATCATTGCGCGATTAAAAGAAAAAATATGGTTTTCCCTGACACATTCTGATTGAAAATTAAGTTTGTGAATAATATTACGAGCACAATTCTTAGAGGTTAACGAGATCTAAAGTTGTTGGATAAAACTATTGCTGATCTACATTAACAGTGCATGTGAAACCTGTAGATTATCAATATAAATAACAGAAACCCATATAATAAATGAGTGTCAACGTAATTATCTGATAGCTAGCATTTTCGACCAAAAAAAAAAAAAAAAAAGGCATAACAATGCTCTAAAATGGTTTAAGCTTATTACAGCAGATCAATCAAAAGTTTGTAACTGACTGATGTTTGGGGTTGCTTTTCTTCAAGTGCAGTCAGATTGGTTCATCACACACTCTTGTCACGTGATACGACGTCATTCAGTCACTTTTTATAATGAAAGTTATATTTATATAAAAGGTGTTTATGATATTTACAAATTACAAACCTCACTGAGGTGGAAATAAATGAAACTTAAGTGTCCAATAACATACTTTAATATAATTTTTTCGTAGCTCATTTAATATAAAGCGAAATAGAGCAGTAATTAAAAGAAAGTCGGAAGACTAGCATGCTTCTCCTTGTCTCAAACAATATTCCAGAACTCAAAATTATCTTCAGAAACCATTTCAAATGTAATCTTTCCAGTGCGAAGACAGTTTTTGAGAAATAGCCTAAGACATTTACGATCTTTACCTTATGAGCTAGAATAACAAGTTTTACATGTTTCAAACGTCAAAGTTAATCTTCTAATTAACGCCATAACAGTCATTGTTTGCAAAAATTGATGATGATATATATATAGCACTACTATGTCTGTCATATCCCAGCCGTCGGCACACTAGATTTAACAGATGCAGTACTGTTGAGATATTATTCTTTGTTTTCACTCCTAAGTTCTTAGAATTCACTATTATACCAAGATTGAATACTCATAGCCGTTGTTTTTGAAGATATTTTATTTTTACATGATAATGATGCCATCAGGTGAAACTGTATCACAATATCAACTCCAAGTAAATGATAAAATACATCCCTATATTTTTATGGGTAAAGAATGGCTGACTATATCTAAATTGATTCCAACTTACTTTTCATTAACTTTGACAAAAATAAGGGTCAAGATAATTGATTCGATTTACTGGGAATGTGAAAAACCCTTGTTCACTATTGTTGTTTAAACGAATAAAAACAAGCTCTTGCGTAAGAGATCATCGTCTCCCCCTCCCCCCGTTACCTGTCATAGACAGTTCTGTCTCCCGTGAGTACTTATAGTATAGGAGCGTATATTACAACAGCTAATACTTCAACTATGTTTCTTTACAACAACTGTCATCAGATCAAGTGTAATGTTGTTGTTGTTTTTTAAATATTGTTCGACATCTAATATGTTCAGTTCCTTACTATTTGAAACTTGTTTAGTTTTACATTTTTCACTGGTTTATGACTCTTCAATTTTTAGTTGTGTTTCTTGTTATTTTGTTAAGTTAAAGCAAAAATCTGTTATTTATCTGACGAGATTTAATCTTTCTTTTTTTTAAGAAAAAAGATAGGCTAGGACACTGAAATAAATTAGACTTTTAAGTAGCATCTTTGTGGTCTTATTGCTAAAGTATAGATTCGCGTACTGTTGCAGCTGCTGCCATCTGTTAGTAGGAGTTATTTCAAAAGCATCTTAGTCTTTGTCTGTTTGTTTGTCTTTAAGTACAATTGGCTATCTTGTCTGTGCTCATCACGAGTATTGCAATCCGGTTTTTAGCGGTGTGAGCCTTCAGACTTACAGCTGAGTCACTGGGAGCAAATAATACCGCAAAAACTAACTCTAGCTTAAACCTGGACCTGAACAAAAAGAATTTTTTTTACACATCATATTCCTAAAATATGGACTCATACAACTAGTTACGTTGTCTAGGTGTGTACTATTTTGAAATATCTCAGAAACTTGTAAGTTGCCTTGAAAAATGAGATCTGGTTGTTTCTACTACTAAAAATTATATCAAATTCTAGTCGCGCCATCTCAGTTAGAAATAACAAAACAAGACAGTGTGCAAGCATGTAAAACAATAAGTATGCCTACAAAATTGAATATATATATATATATATACATCACATTAGTAAGTTATAGATTTCTTATTTCTGGAATTAGAAGTTTTAAAGATAAATTTCCCTCCTGGACTCACTGACTGAGCTCGTCTTTCAGGTGTTATGTTACTTATTTTTAATGTCTTTGTATTTCTGAGCTTTTTCTCAATAAAATTCTGGCCATTGCTATTTTTATAACCTCCTGTTCTACGGACGAAACGGGTCACGTAACCTTAATCATTATCCGAAAGTATTTTTTCATTGATCTACGTTCAGAAATGTCTGCTTAAAGTTTTTTGTTTATTTTATTATTTTTATTATTGTTAAACTCAATAGTATATTAGAACTAAAATACTATTATAAATACATTCATTTTATTAAACCAGGTAAAAAATCTATAAAAAAAGTAATTTTCACTGACACTTGCATCTAGAAATTGCCATCGACTGGGATTTTTTTCTTTTCAAATTTCCAAATTCATTGGTAAGTTTCAAGAGTTTGATTGAAACGTAACCTGTACAAATATTTTATTGACGTTAATTTTCAACTGCTGTAGCCTAGCGACGAGAATGACATTACAAATTATGCATTATTTTGGTGTTTGAGTTACATATCAGTCAGGTACTGCAACAACAACTGCAATATTTTGTCAAATACTGTACACACACATATTTTCACTTGATATAAACTAGGATTTAAAAACCTTTAAGAAATTATTCAATAACGGTCTTTTACAAGATTAGTCTTCATTTATTATAATGGATAAAGTCGGGAATCTTGGGTTTTAAGAGTCTATTATAAAAACGATAAACCCTATAACCCTAGCGCTTTTGAAAGGTGGACCTTTCTTTATCAGGGGTAAACTGAGAACCCAGGGTTATAAGGTTTTTTATCGTTTTATATTAAGACTTCTTGACTCTACGTGTTTTTCTGAGATCACGAAAGTGTCTATTTTAGTATTAATATTAACTCCCGATCAGATAAGGCTATGTACTTAAAAATAATCTAAAAATCAACCTGGCAATCAGTCTAGTAAACTCAATGTACCCATCCTTCTTACGTTTCTTTTTATAAAAATTATAATGCATTGTTTCATCAGTTGGGTAGTTTCGCTGTTAACGATATTTTCGGCCACAATCCCAATAATTACTTGCGTGAATAGGCCAGCTTAGGAGATTTAGGTTAGTTCTAAATGATATATTAACCTAACTATGCAAAACGATCTTTTTGATAAAAATATACTAATGAAAAATTTAAAAAGTAATAACATTACATATATTAAGTAGTATGACTAATGCTATTAATGAAAATAACAATATATAAATGCCTTCCAGTGGCACAGCGGTATGTCTGCGGAATTACAACACCAGAAACCGGGTTTCGATACCAGTGGTGGACAGAGCACATATAGCCCATTGTGTAGCTTTGTGCTTAATTACAAACAAAATAAATAAATAATATCGTATACATTATTTATGGAATACAGAATTTATTGTAGGTGAGCAAAATAAAGTTTTAGTATGATATCTTCAAGATGCTAACAAATAATTAAACATTTATAAAATTCAATTTACTACACTATCATCTGTTGATAGGGTAAAGAAGTTCAGATGAGGTTTGAGGTGGAAGACATAGGGCTCTCCGGGGGATGATATAGGGGTCATGTTCAGACAACGACCCCTGTTCTCTGTCACTCCGCGGGGGACTTTAAGGGTATATGCCAGGTTTGATGACAACTGATTCAGCGGTTTGACAATTATAAGCGGACATATCACAAAGAACCCCCAGGTGTGACGTAGAAAGTTAGATCCGAACGCTATCTACCTAGATTACGCTCTGTGGAAGCCCTAAGGGTACATGGCAGGTTTGGTAACAATTAATCCAAAGGTTCGCCAGTTGTAAGCGAATACACACACATGTGTTTGTTAAATAATGGTTTAGATTACGTGCACATATTTTGTAATCAGTTCGAATAAGCCAGGTTATGGCCAAGTGGTTAGGGTGCTCGACTCGTAATCTGAGGGTCGTGGGTTCGAATCACCATCCCACCAAACATGCTCGCCCTTTCAGCTGTGGAGGCGTTATAATGTGACGATCAATCTCACTATTCGTTGGTAAAAGAGTAGCCCAATAGTTGGCGGTGGGTGGTGATGACTAGCTGCCTTCCCTCTAGTCTTGCACTGCTAAATTAGGGACGGTTAACGCAGATACCCCTCGTGTAGCTTTGTGCGAAATTCAAAACCAGTTCGAATAAAAATTAAGGCCCTCAGCAGATTGAACGAACTTATATAAATTTGAAACTAAATATTCATATAAATAATCTGAATATAATAAAAGTAATTTGATATTTTCCCATCAAATGCGCAATAAAAAATTAAAGCCAACAGCAGAAAGAACCTTCAAGGTCGTTAGTGTCGAACAGTCAGTTTCAAGTCACGTGAGCGGTTTTCTCGAAACTAGTGCAAACTAGTTCTGTTTTTCATAGAGAGGCGTAAAACCAACTGTACGAAATTTTGACCGTAGAACTGATTTTTAAGGTATTCTTCTATTCTATTATTATTACATTTAATAGGTTATAAGAATTGAAGGTGTTAGTTTTGATAAGTTTCGTAGCTGTATAGTTGCCATGCTCGAGAATGCAACGAGATACGCACGCACCATATGTCGAGTCTCAAGTTGATATCGTGTACCAATGCGCTGTAAGCCACAGTTTTCTCACGGATAGTTAGGATATAAAATGAGTAAAAATAACTCGACTTTTTGATTCGTATTATTCTTTTTACAGGTCTTTCCAGTAGTGTCTCAAGATGAACGAGTTCCATTTCACCTCACGACGATCTCCCGTACTTGCTTGCAATGCTTGTATTTCATCTGATCAGCCTCTGGCAACTAAAATTGGAATCGGTTTGTAACAATTTATCAGCTATTTTAACACTTTTGATCATTAATATGAAGGTAATCAGCATTGTGTTGCAAATAAATCTTATCCTGAACCCATTTAGAAGTAAACAAAACGTTATAAGATAAATCAAAAGTATAAGTAGTATGGGTTATGAAATTCTGTTTTGACAGTTTTGCTGCTTGAAATCGGCTGTTTTTAATTCGAATGACAAAAACTAAAAACTGTCCACTTTTACTCTTAGGTGAATCTGTAGTAAAAGTGTCAAACCAACAGCTCTCGTGACTTTTTGCGTGGCTTATATTTAGACCAAATTTGACACCTAATTTACCTTGTCGAAAAGATACTTAAAGAATGGTATTATTATCAGGTCATCTTAAGGTCACAATTTGAAATTATGAGCAGAAGGAAAAACGAAATGCGTAATAATGATATTAATTTTTTCTTTGATTTTACTTGATCTATAAAAAATACACAATTAGCTAATGTTAATTATCTTTATTGACTGACTTAATATTCGGGCATTGTTTATTGTTGTTATTTGTAGTGCTGATTAACTTTTGAGTACTGTTAAAAATCCGATTCGCATTAGGTGTAGCTTATAAATGAGAATAGAGAAGTTATTTACGAAATGTAGAACACTTCATCTATCTATTTTAAGCATCATTTACAAACTACTATACACTGATGATGAATAATACTCTCCCCACTGAATTGCTAACCATGCAACCTAAAACTTCTTTTAAAAAAAATATAATATAACAGTTATTCATTAAGAGCTGATTATATGTTTCTTTAAAGACAAAGATCCTTGTCTAATAGATGCAGGTTGATTCTGACACCTTCAGTTGATATAATTTGTGTTATTGAAATACAATGTTATTGGTTAACTGAAATTTTCAGACATATTGCAAAATGGAGGAAATGCAGCAGACGCAGCCGTTGCTATGGCAGCAACCCTAAATGTGTTGCAACCTTGCACAACTGGAGTTGGCGGAGATTGTTTCTGTCTATTCTACAGAGCGTCAGACAAAAAAGTGTTGGGAATAAATGGAAGGTTGGGACTGTTTTACTATTACTATATTTTCTAATTAAACTTATCATTGAAATTAACACCTGAAAATGTAAGTTCTAATTATAGATTGGCAAGAAAGTTATTTACGTACCTACTTTCTGAATTATTATTATTTTTTCAAAAAACAGAAATTTACCACGGTAAGGTATTTGACGAGCGAATGCTGTTACTGGCCTACACATCACCTAAGTCTAATAATTATTATTTTTCCTTTAAATGATAATTATCAATTCGATCGTACTTTACGTTTCAGCTGCTAATCTTCTGCTATCTTTAAGGAAATCCTAATAAAAACTGTTTGTGGTGGTGGCTAAGATTCCATCCTGGACTTTTAATAGAAAAACTGTTGTGCTATGCACTAGACTGGGATCTTTGCCGCTGGGGTCTAATCAACTAACTATATGAATGATTCCAAAAGGGGGTATTTATTTTTTGTTGATTTCTATCCTAGGCTGACTGAGTGTGTTATCAGTAGGAGGTTTCTTTTATCTTTTTTTTTCTTACCTCGTGTGTAGTTCATACACTATTATTTTCCTTTTATTACATCTTATTTTATGATCTTCTATGACACTATGGGCTATTGCAGATAGATCGGTATTACTGAAGAAAGAGTAACTAATTCATAATTATACTTAGATGATCTAATAGTTCACTGTCCAGTAATCCTAACAACGGCAGAAATAGTAAGTGTTGTAAGACAAAACAACATTTAACCACACACTGATTACATTTGTAGATGAAAATTTTACGCAAAAATATATATTTCAATAGAAGTAGAAAATAAAATTATTAATATTTTTAAGTTCTTTCTTTTTATCCCGATTTCAAAAAGAAAGAAGTGTTTTATATTGATAAAATTCTATTCAAACAAAACGGTTGTTCTGGTGTGTCTATTGTGTACACAGCGTGGTCACAAGTAAATAGACACCATCTTTTCAGAAAAAAAATTAAAATTTTCAGTCATATTCACATGAATTGATGTATTTATAATTTAAAT